ACTGTGCTTACAACCTCAGCTGGCATCATGGACCATGAGGAAGCAAGACGAAAACACACAGGAGGAAAAATCCTGGAATTCTTTTTCTAAAGGGTGTAAAATATACATACAAATAAAAATGCTCTGATGGAAAAAAAAACAAATTGCTTCACTTTGTGAGTCAGTTTTCTTGTCTGTAAAATGGAGATAATATTTATAGAGCTGACTTGGCAGGATTGTTGTGAGGTTTACATAAGAAATATAGAAAGTTGTTTGCAGACTTTAAAGCCCTACATAAACATCAGGGTGGTTTTCTTTTGGTCCAGATCCATGATTCCTTTGATCTAAGGAACTGGCAGTGAATAAACTCCCTCAACCAAAGAAGACTTCTACCATATTTGCAGCTTGTAGTCTTGACAGTCCCAGTAGCATGGGACATTGGGAGATTAAGTGACTTGCCTAGTGTCAGATAGTCAGCATGTGTCAGAGATAGGACTTGACCCCAAGTCCTCCTGGCTACAAGGCAGACTCTCTATGTTCTATATCACACTGCCTCCATCCAATGCCTAAAATTTTATAAATAGTCTTGAGTGCCACTGGAGAAAGCTCCTCTTAGGATGCCCATCAATTAGGAAATGTCTAAACAAGTTATAGTATGTGATTGTGATGGAATACTATTATGCTGTAAGAAATGATGGGGGTGGTTAGAAAAACCTGAGAAGACTTACATGAACTGATGCAGAATTGAAGTGAACAGAACCAGGAACACAATCTACACAGTAATAGCAATATTGTAAAGAAAATCAACTGTGAAAGACCTAGATATTCTGAGCAACACAATCATTCATTGTAATTCCAAAAGACTCATAATGAAAAATGCTATTCCCGTCTAGATCAGAATGCATATTAAAGCATATTTTTTTTCTTTTTCTTGCCCCCTGCCCACTATATCAGATGCAGAAATATGTTTTGCATGGCTTTATATGTGTAATGGGTGTTCTATTCCTTGCCTTCTCAATGGGCATGGGAGGGGTGAGAGGGAGGGAGAGAATTTGGAACTGAAGACAAAATAAAATTGAATAATAAAAAAAATTGTAAGAAAAGGAAAATTACTCCTTAAATGCCAGATGATGGTAACTGCAACCATTTTGCTGTGCTCTTAGACTGGCAAAGGGTTCTGCCCACTACTCAACTTGACCTTCTCAGTTATTGTTAGTATAAATCGATGAGTAAGATCTTTATCATTGTTCTGGGTTCCAGAGCAGTGATGATCTCCCAGCAGTCTTTCCTCCTCCAGTGCTCATTAGGAAGCAGCTGTGTCAGTATGGAAGAAAACGTCTTGTAACTGGCCTCTTTCACATAACCCCCTTCTATACCAGGAAGCAGCAAGAAAAGGTAGAAAGCACAGCAAGGCCATGTCATTTGCCTGGGATCTCCTTCCCCTGTGTCATCATTGTATTGGAAGACGGAGTGCTCATAAATTATTATCTCAGCTGGAATTCATCTTATTTTTCTCCCACTGTTAAGTCGGAAGTTCCCACATTCAAAGCCCTACATAAATATCAGGGACCTGGGCAGATTTTTCTCACACCTCTGTCCCTTGAACCCTTACCTAGCATATTTAAAGACTTTACTGTATGACACAACTCACTATGTTCCCATCATCTCCTTATTTTGGCATTAAAATATTACTCTCTGTCATTCTCTGAACTTCAGCCATGTTGCCTACGTGTAGTTCCCCAAACTCAGTATGCTCTCTCTGACCTCTGCCTTTGCAGAGGTTGGCCCGGTGCCAACTTCTCATGTCCGCTGCTTAACTTACTTCAAAGGGTAACTCAGATATCACTTCATATGAGAAGCTTTCCCTGATCCTCTAGTCTTTAGTGCTCTCTACCTACTCAAATTATCTCGTAATTACCTCTCTGTTTACATATTACAGCCTATAGTAGACTATAAACTCCTGGAGGGTAGAGAGTTTTGTTTGTTATCTCCAGACAGCATTCTCCATGCAGCTTTCCACAGCTCTCAACTGGTGGCATCCATGGCCCTCTTCTGCAGCTACTAGCTGGTTATTCGTTGCTACTTATTTTGTAACTCTTTCTGGGTGTCCCAGCAGTAGGGATCTCCCTGCCCCTCTCAACTTCATATAGATCTCGATCCTGTACTTGATGGAGTCTGGATGAAATCACAGTTGAATATGCTTTTTTTCGCCACCCCAGGCATTGTGTTACCTAACTAAGTTAGTACTTCCCATGGGTCTAGAAGCTTGCTAAAAATAGCCCTCTGGGCCAAGAAGAGGAAAGTTCTTATACTTTGCTGCTTATATTTGAAGAGCCCTTCTTAGATTTTGTGATTCTCTTATAGCACAAGTAAAATAATTACAATCAGGAATCTTTATAATCTCAGAAATACTGTGTAGAAACATTTATCTAACCTCAAAAAATTTGCAGAAGTCAGATTTTATAAATAGCCAAGAATTAAAGACTCACAGAACATTAGTGTTGGAGGAACCTCAGAGATGAATTCCTCTAACTCCCTCTCTCATTTTAAGATGAGTAAACTGAGACCCAGAGAGAGAGGTTTTGTCTTGACAGATGTTACGCAGCTAGTTAGTGGTACAGTTGTTGTTTAATCATTTTTCAGTCATGTCTGACTCTTTGTGACCTCATTTTGGGATTTTCTTGGCAAAGATACTACAGTGGTTTGCCATTTCCTTCCCTAGTTCATTTTATAGATGTGGAGACTGAGGCAAACAAGATTAAATGACTTGCTCAGGGTCGCACAGCTAGTGTCTAAGATTGGATTTGAGCTAAGGTCTTCCAGGCCTGGGACTCTATCCACTGAGCCACCTAGCTGCCCTGGTGGGATATATAGGACCAGAACTCAAATCTCCTGATTTCTAGTTCAGTGCTGTTGACCTTTTTTTTTTTTTTCTGAACTGAGTGGTAGCTCAATAAATACATTTACTCAGCTCATTGTAGAGTTAATGATTGGCGAGTAGGGGTTGGGAATAGATTTTCAGAGTTGTAAGGGGCTTGTTAACTAGGTCAATGCCCTCCTTACTGCAAAAGTCCCTTTTATATCTCTGACGAGTAGTCACCCATCCTCTGCTTGAATCTGTCTATTGACAAGGAACTCACTTCCTTATAGAGAAGCCATTTCCTATTGAATAACTCCCATTTTAAGAAAACTCATCTTGGTAGTGACCTGAAATCTCATAGGATTGTAGATTTAGAATTAAAAGTGACCTGAGAGGTCATCTAGCTTATCTCCTTCATTTTGTAGATGAAGAAAATGAAGTCCAGAGAGGTTTAAATGACTTGGCCAAAGTTGCACAGGTAGAACCAGGATTCAAACCCAGATCCTCCTACCCTGAATCCATTGTTCTTCCTACTGGTCCCTTAACATACTGCTTATTATTTACTCATTTATTACTTTATTATTTACTATTATTCACTCATGTATTACTTTATTATTGACTGACTATAGTTATAATAAGGTAAGAGCACCATTATAGACCTTAATGTATCTTGAGATGATAGTAGTCAGAGCAAATAATATGAAGAAGCAGATGGATGCTGCCAAACATATGGACTTGCCAGTGTGAAATGGCTTTAAACTTGTGGGATTTTAAAAGCAAGTTTAAGGCTTAGGTGCCTTTGAGCTCTGTAACCTGCTGGGAGTATCTTGCATTTTAAGTTCTCCCACTGAAAGCAGAGGCTACCTGCTCATCACTGTGCTTCCCCAGCTGACTTTATTTAGAAGGAGTTTCTACATGGGCTGCTCAGGCTCAGTCACCTGGGAATAGGGCTCTGCAGTTTTACACCAGAGAGACTAACATTTGAGGCCTTGAACTATTACCTCCTACTCTGGGGATTTAATAGAAGGAACAATAAAATCAGAAACTCAAAGCAAATCTGCCAGATTTATAAGAACCCAGACTTTGAATGGGGCTGAATATCTGGCTTAGATAGATCTGTGAAGAAAGCATCCCATGGAACACATCTTTTACTCCCTAGTCCACTAGTAATGGAAGCATGAGAACTGTTATCTTTAATGCAAACAGGTTCCTTGAGTCACACGATTCAGAGCTAGAAGGTAATGCTCTGTAATCTAGTACAACTCTTTCATTTTGCTGATGAGGAAACTCAGGCTTAGATAAAAGGAACTTGCTCAAGGTCACAGAGATACAAAGTAGGAGATTTGAACCTAGGTCCTTTGATTCCAAGTCCTGTGCTTTTCCCCACCAAATAGGGTGGCATAACAACAACAATAATAGCTAATATTTATTTAGCACTTTAAGATTTGCAAAACACATTATATATTGTCTCATTTGATAGAATGCTGGAATCCGAAACAGGAAGATATGGGTTTATAGATTGTTAGATTTGGAGTAAAGAAGAATCCAGAATTCAATTTCCACCTCTGTGTGACATTTATTAGCTACAGGACTCCAAGCAAATCATTTTATCTCCCTTGGCCTCATTTTCCTTCCCTGCAAATGTAGATGCTAATACTTGTAGTACCCACTTTATAGCATTGTTGTGATGCTCAAATGAAATAGAACATAGAGTGCTTTGCAAACCTTAAAGTCCAATTTAATTGTTAGATATGTCATGGAGAATACACATTTTCATGACAATTTTTATTTTACACAGTGCTTTATGATCTTCATTAATTATCTTTCAAAAAAAAACTTTTAAGCTGGGCAGTAGAAAGCTCCTTGAAGACAAGATCATTGTTCTTTTTTGTATTTGTAACTCTAGAACCAATTGCCATGCGTATAGTAGGCACTCATTAATGTTTAATTGTGTAGAGTAGGCATATGCTAATGTTGCCAGACTACAGACTGCCCTGCTGTATATACTGTGTGACCCTAAAATACTTAACCCTTCTAAGCCAAAGTATTTCTCATCATGGGTACAAATGAGTAAGGAATGTGTGTTGTTGTTTCACATTCCCAAGAGAAAACTGGAGAAGTGAATGAATGTGAACTAAACTGTTTTCTCTCTTGTGTTTAGGTCAACATCTCTAACGTCAGCTTGGTAATGGAGTCTGACTTGGGCAATTTCATGCCCACAGGTCTAGCATTCACTGGAAGTGATAAAGCCCGGGCTATTATAAAAGAGGTTATGAACCTGCTACAACCCATAAATATCACCCAAGTTTTTGAGGATGGAGAAGGAACTGACATTAACTACTGGATCCAAGCTGGAGTACCTGGTAAGACTGCTTGATTTGGAAAATAGGAGTGTTGAATTGAAGTGAAATTCTAAAGCTGTGTTCCAATATGACCAGATGGAAATGCCAGAGGTGACCCTACTTATTGCTGATGTGGACAGCCACCTGAACATTGTGATTTGAGGAGTATCCAGGAAAATCTGCTGAACTATAAAACACCTTCCATCCTAAATACCACATGGCTCCACCATTCTCTTGGGGTTCTAGCCTTCTGAGCTCAGCTAAGAGCTGGGCATGCAAAGAAAGGCAAAAACATGGTTCCTGCCTTCAGTGGGATCACATTTTAGTGGGTGAAACAATATACAAACAATTAAATGCATACAAGAAATATACAGTGTAAATGTAAATCTCAGTGTAACAGTATAAATCTCAATATACACAGTATAATTTTCAGGGGGAAACACTAACATTGGGAGGGAGTAGGGTGACTGGGACTCTCTTGCAGAAGATAGAATTTGAGCTGAGGCTTAAAGGAGGTCAGGAAAGCCAGGAGGTAGAGGCGAAGAGGGAGACTGTTCCAGTTACAGGAGAAAGCTAGTGAAAAGGCACAGAGTCAGGAGACGGAGTATCATGCATTTGAAATAGCAAGTTGTCCAATGTCACGTTATGACAGAGTACATAGAAAGGAGTAGAATGTAAGGAAAGTGTAGGAAGAATACAGGTTATGAAAAGCTTTAACAGCCATTCTGAGGATTTTATATTTGATCCTGGAAGATCATGTATGTTTCTTCATTTTGTTCTGTTTTCCTTTTGAGTCAAGTGGTGTAGTGGATAGAGTGCTAGCAGGAAGGCCTGGCTTCAGGTGTGACTTCTGACACTAATACTAATATCAGTAATAGCTTTTATGTTTACCATGTGCCGGGAACTGTGCTAAGTGCTTTACAGATATCTCATTTGATCCTTGCAACAACCTCGGGAGGTAGGTGCTGTTATTATTCCCATTTTATAGATGAGGAAACTGAGGCACAAAAAAGTTAAGTGACTTGCTCAAAGTGTCTGAGATGGGATTTAAACTCAGGTTTTCCAGACTCCAGACCCAGCACTCCATCTACTGTGCCACCTACAACTTTTGCAACTATGGGCAAGTCACTTAATCTCTGTGGGCAACAGTTTCTTCATCTGTAAAATGAGGTAATAATAGCACCTATCTCCCAGGTTGTTTCAAGGAATAAATGAGATAATAATTGTAAAGCACTTAGAATAGTATGTGGCACATTGTAAGTGCTATATAGATGATAACTATTACTATTACTGTTGTTGTTATTATTATTATTATTATTATTATTATTATTACTATTTATTATCTGTAAAATAAGGGTCATTGGACCAAATTGTCTCTAAGGTCCCTACCAACTCTAAATCCACGATTCTATGAGTTAAGAATCTTAATAGAAAATGAGGGTGCATGAGCCAATTGAGATAGATTTATGAAATATTGTATGATCATGATTTTACACTTTAAACCCTTGGCCAAGCTAAGAAAGAAAGCTTGGCCACCGAATTAGAAGGGAGGGATCCATACTGGTTCCAGGGAGACTTTTGGACATTGGTGCTCACCCACTTGTCTTTCCTACTCCAGTACCCATGTAGAAAGCCCACGCATATTAGTACAGAAGAAAATTTCCTGTAATATTAACTCCCTTCTACCCCCAAGAAGATGCAAGAGAGAGTTTAAGATGCTGCTCTGTGATAACATTTGACAGGGGCCTCCTACCACTGTGTCATCATCATGGCATGAAGGTTGTTCATAGATGTTTGCCTCGCTCAGCAAACAGCTTCGGTTGCTATAGTATTCTCACATCCTGCTTATAACAACATAGGATCAAGCAACTGTAACAGCTGGGAGATCAGAGTGAGTCTCATGCTGCAGCTTCTCTGAACTTTTTAAATTGAGCTTGTTTCCAGGTCCTGTCTGTAAAGGAAAGGGGGTGGAAGAGGACAGGTAACCTCGTACTAGCCTGCCCTCCAGAAGCTTAGGCCCTGCTTTCAAGAGTTTTTTTTTTTTGATTTTGAAATCTTGTTTCAATTCACTTCTACAAACATTTAGTTAAGTGACTAGGGACAGGTACTGTGAGAGGCAGAGGGATAGAAAGAAAAAAATTTCACCGGGTCAACCCCTGCCCTCAAGGAGCTTATATCGTATTGTTGTTTTGGAAAACATTTCTGCAGCTAGCTGACCCAGTGGATAAGAGTGCTGGGCCTGGAGTCAAGAAGATCTGGGTTCAAATTCAGCCTCAGACATACTAGCTATGAGACCCTGGGCAAATCTCTTAATCTCTGTCTGCCTCAACCTTAAATGGGGATAATAATAGCACGTATCTCTCAGGGTTATTGTAAGCATTAAATGAGATAATATTTGTAAAGTGCTTCACGGTGCTGGTATATAATTGGTGCTTAATAAGTTCTTGTTCCCTTCTCCTTCCCATGCCTATTATGTGCACTGTGAGAGGCAGTAGAGTTACAAAGAAAAAAATTTCACCATGTCAGCCACTGCCCTCAAGGAGCATAATTATTTTCTATTATTGTTTTGAAAAATATTTCTATAGTCACAAAGACTTCATAACTACAAGAGCAAATAACCATTCCCTCCCCGTTATCATATGCAAACAACACAGCACTTTTTTATTTGTAAAGTAGATTTCGGGGGGGGGGGTGTTTGGGGGGGAGATTAATGGTTCATATTCTACTATAACACTGTAGATTACAATCATATTTTTGGCTTTAAGGCTTCAAATAATCTTTCACAACTAAAAATAGAATAAGCTATCTTAAAAAAAAATACAGGACCCAAATTCTTTTCATTCTCTCTGTGTGTATGTGTTAACCAAACTTTGAGATTATCTTAAAGGAACAGTCCTGTTCATAGCACTAGTAAGTATATCATTTAGACCAGACATCTCAAACTAGACCACAGTGTGAGAGTCAATCAAGAAGCATCTATTTAGCAGGCACTATGCACTATATCCACTGCTAGGTGCAATGGATACAAATGAGATATGACATAGCTTCTCATCTCCAGGACCCGACCCTCTCCTGGAGGGATAGAACAATGTTGTGCATAAATTAATAGAGAACATAGATAAAATAAGTGCAACATTATTTCAAAAGTCAGACACACAATTAGGAGCATTAGGAAAGGCCTTTTGAAGAGGCTGGATCTTGACAAGCTTAGAAGGGAGCTAGGGTTTCTAAGATGTAGAGATAAGAAAGGAGAATATTTTAGGCATGGAGCAATGGTGAATGGCCTTTGCAAAGAGACGAAGGTAGGAAATGAGATGTCAGATACAGGGAAAAACAATTAAACCAGATTGGCGAAAGCTAGATTCCATGAAGGGGAGTAATGGTAATTATCCTGGAAAAACAGTCTAGAGTCAGATTGTGAGGGGCATTAATGCCAAAGAGGTTTATATTTGGCTCTAGAGGCAATGGGGAACTTCTTGGTCAGGGAAGTTAGATGCTCAGTGTCTTTAATTACTCTCATTCAATGACATTCAGTAAATATCTATGAAGGGCCTGTTACAGGCTTTGTTCCTATTGTGTTTGTTGCTGTAGAAGAAATGAAGAAGAATCAGATGGAGTCCCTACCTTCACTGAATTTGTTTTATGGTACTTTTGTCATTTATTATTGTTTCTTCTGCAGTCAGTCATCAACTTAGTGTCTGGAGGCATTACCATTTAAATTATGCTGATGAGTTATTTTTCTGAAATCCTAGTTCTCTAGCTGAAAGTTTCTTAAAATGGATGAATCAGTGAACTATCATTTACTAAGCACATGCAAAAATCCAGATCAGTCCATTTGCTGTCTATAGGTCTGGGCAAAATTTTGGTGAAACATAGGAGAGTTGGGGAAAGGGAGGAGAGAGTGACGGTAAAGGCCAAAATGAGCTAGAATCAGAATTTTAGGCCAAGAAACCAACTTGGACATCCTATTTAATCATGTCCTCTCATTTTATGGAGAAGTTAAATGATAATTCTTAGTTTGTAGAAATAATCAATGACTGATCTGAGGCTAGAACCTTCATCTAATGGCTCAGTATTTGTGCTGGTACATGCTACTGTTGGAGATCATCTGTGGAATGTACATTTCCACGATGTCTATCTTTCTCACTTAGCTGGATAGCTAAGATGTAGTCCTATCATCTTTTTTTCCATATAGAGAGCTTGCATAAAGCCAGATCCATTCAGTAGCAATATATTGCAATTGCTGACCTGTTGGTTAGTCTTGTTAAGTTGTCAACTTTAACAACTTTTTTTCTGCTTTAATGAAATTGAGATATGTGGAGTACCATGGGTACCAGAAATCCTCCACTCCCATGATAGCATTATTGGTGGTTCTGGACTAATGAAATCATATTTTGTGTTATTTGAACTACTTTTAAGTTTCTTAAGGGATACATTTCTTCATTTCCACTGGTATGGAAGATTTTAGTTTAACTCTCTACCAGAGTCATTTGTGTCTAGAAGAAAAGAGTATGTTCTAAATAACTCCTTTTTTTTTTTTCAGCTCTCATTCCCCTCTTTTTCTCTAGATAGGGAAGGCTATTGTAGTTAGCGGTTCATTTAAAGCAATGAATGTTTTCCTGGAATTCTCATTAGTTTCCTTTTGAGTCCTATGATGGGAACTGGATGATTGCTGTTTTCCCCTTAGTTCTTTTTGAAACTAGCATTGAGGTTTTCAATTTTTTTTACTATTCCTAGAAGTTAAGATGAGACTGCTTTGGTTGTGATTCTTATTCCTCACTGACAATTTCAGGAACTAGAAATTTGAGAAAAAGAGGAAGAGCAGCAGTTAGTCTCAGATGGAAAATTAAAATGTACCAATTGGGTGCTCTTTCAACCTTGGAGACCTAATGCACTCTGATGGCTAAAATATAAGCATTATTACTCATGTAAGCATACTGATTAAATTGTCATTTGAAGAGTTATTTACCCAACTCTTCTTTTTTCTTTTTTTTTTTTAAATCAAGCCCTTTCCTTGAATG